TTTCACGGCTGAAAAACAAAACAACAAACTTGATTAAAACAACAACAATATTGCAGTTTTGCAAAACAGCATGTAGTTCCTAATCCTGTTAAGTTAATCATAGTCTCAGAATTTTGTAAAATCATTTTGCTAGTATTACGCTAGGAGGAATGTTCGTTCTGAACATAAGCAGCCGCCAACAGTATATCAATGCTGAATGATCTCTGTGCAGTTCTCTTGACTACTCACTCATACTATCAGCTCTGAGCACTGGGATTACTTTGAGCCTTTCTTCTTGATTTAGAAGAAACTCTTCAGAAGCACCACCCAAACAAATTGAACAGTTTCGTTCATGTGGTGGCTGAGAGCAAGTCACGAGGACCTATTGTTATAGTTCTTCGTTCAGTAACAAATGATGAGCAGAAACGTGCCAATGTGTGTATCGGATGGGATGCGTCGATTCCTTCGATGGAACGTCAAATACGGTATTGGATAGCCAATCACTGAACATCGCAGTGTGATGCTCATTCCGTTCTGTTCGAATGTTAATGGCTCAATAAACATTGGCTCCTCACCAGCCATGTCCTCCTCTGAAAGCAATCATTCAACGTTCAGCAATTAAATGATTTCAACCGAAACTGTGACCGGTCGATGATAGACTTTCAGGATGCGGCGATGTGAATACATGAAAGGGTGAATGGATTGCAAAACTAATCAAATTTGAACCAAACGTTGTGATCTAAGAGAATTCCATATCAACACTATATTTGATAGATATCCATTATATCTTTTCATGATTTCTTTCCCAGTCGTCCGTTTCTGAGAAAACAGAGAATTCCATTTTGGAACGCTCAGTGATGAGGATAGATCTGCTAGGTCAGTGATTCTCATAGAGGGTGAAATTACCCGTTTTGGGTAATTTGGAGGTGAAGGGGTAATGGAGGGGATCGGGAAATTAGTATTTCGTGCAGTTGTTACGTTTTGATAGAAGCCAATGTGATGGTGATTTTTGCGGTTATTTTAGGTCGTTCGGACCTAACAGCATTCATTTTTTACTACTTTAACAGGGTTTTCATTCTTTTCCGAGCTGTTATAATCGCTCTCATAACTTTTATCAGCGAAAGTGTTTTCTTTCGCTAATTTCTTATTCATTTCACTCAATAGTTAAACTCAAATTCTCATTCTATCAAATACATTCTTTTACTGATCGTTTGACTGTAGAACGTTATTGAGCAATTCAATTCGATTGCTGTATTGTTGATTTCGGCTGTTAACACTCGTCAACGTATTCAGTAAATAGTGAATGCTACAGAATGAGACATTGATTCGAACTGTGAAGCGACACGAGTCGAAGTGAATGAGAAAAAATCATGAAGAGAACTGTATTCGCATGTGACAGCTATGAGAGTGAATAGAACACGTCTGAAAAGAATGAGAATCCATCTGAATCAGTGTGAAGTGAGTGCGTCATACACAATAGCTTTTCCAACAATCATAATCGATCTCATGAACAGTGAAACGTCAGGAACAAACGGTTTTCCGTTATAGCATCTGATCATGAGTGAAAGTAAAGTAAGTATGAAAAGCAATGTTTTGAAAATGACCGTGAATGAAAAGTTGTACACTGTCGGATGCAACTGACGTACTGCTGATTGCTAAGCACGAAATCTCGCCCCTATCGGCAACGTCACAATCGAATATCTCTAAACAGTACTGAGATCCTTTGCCGGATAGTCGATAACGACCACTNTTCGAAATCTCCTTCTCGCCGTTATACCACTTCACGTCCACCTCAGCTTCCTCTAGAACATTTTTCAGTTTCAAAGGTGTCTTCTAACTTCAGAGGTAATGATCAATTGCAATTTTGACGTTCAGAAAAGAGTTCTGCAAAAAATTTAGAATGAAACTATCGACTGAAACGAACAAACTGATTTTGATCGAATTCACTCGGATGATGTATCACAATCGTCTAGATACAAATCAGATATTCTTCAGAGAAATTTTTATAGACGTTCGAAAACATAGTTTAAAATATGATTAGTATCTGAGATGAACCTGAGTGTATTGAACTCGTAATGGTGACCAATTCACCGGTACGGACGTGAATCTCTCGATGGACTATACGAACCGACAGTTCGGTTGTCAGATCGCTTGCCTCCTCCTCACAGCTTTGTTCACTAGTTTGCGAATGATCACCCTGCAAGATGAATATCTTTGAAGCTGCAATCAACTTGATTGTGATAAAGCTAATCAAATTTCACTATTCTCGATCTTTTCCTAGAACTTCAAACTCCAATAAAACGTCAAAGTGATGAAATCTTAAGGCTAAGTGTTATTTGGAAAGCTAACTCCCTTTTTTGATTATTATTTATTTTC